ACTTTTGTTAAAAAGAGACAGGACACTGCACCTCATCTAAAGGCCGTCAGTTGACGGGCAGCACTTGGCCGCTAAATAAAAAGGAACAGCTGTGCACGCTGCTCGTCACCTCCGCCTATGGCGCCTCTCCTCCAAAACTCTAGAGGCTGGCATTTCCCTTGGCCCCCCCCACACCGACCTGTGGCTCCCCCTGCCACGTCACTAGTCTGTGGCACGAGCGCAGCAAGCGTGCCAGCTCCCTCGTCAGCACGAGCTCTCAGGTCCACTCTCCTCCCGTCTCCCACCGGCATCCCCTTCTTCCACCGCCCGTCCCGCGAGCCGCCGCCAACCACTGCCGCCCTCACAGCAGCGCACGCAGCCACCGCACCGAGGAAAGGCGGGCGGCAAGGCTATGCCGTTGGAGCCATTACTCCATCTCCCCAAGCCTCAGTCTCCACACGTGTGACCACAGAACTGAACGGAATAAAGCAGGTCTAAGGCCACGTCTCCTGCGCGGTCCGCCGAGGTGCTCCAGGACACGACAACGAAGTCCCGGGGGAGCCGCGGGGCATTTTAAACGGGAGGACCATGCAGATGCTCGGCACACGTCGGACGCTGCCCCGACCAGGCACCGATGCGCTCAGGGTCTCTACGTTAGCGTGCAGTACAGCCCCTGAGTGACACCCTGTCTTTCTGAGGCTGGGTTTCAGTGGCTGCTGGGACACGTCAGCACAGAACCGGAAGTGAGGGGGCGCTGTGCACTCTGAATCCAGGGTATGAAAAGCGGTCCCAGGCTCAACAGGCACACAGATCCCATTAAGTAAGTAACTGTGCTTGTTTACAAAGGAGACAAGTTATGTTCAACTTACCATATTTGCATGATATTTTTCAAACAGATACTAAAGTTGTGAGGACAGAAACATCTCTTGTTTGGGCCTAGTTAATACACAGAGCTGTGGCCTAGGGCTGCCGTGAGAGACTTCCTGAGGCCCCAAAGACACCGTGCGGCCAGCGAGTTTAGGAGCCTCGGGCTTAAGGCTGTGACCGCAGAGGAGGCTTCCAGCAAACGGCACTAGCGCTTCGCTATTACTTCTCCTCTATGGTGCCGTGGTTTCATAGACAAAGTGGGATACTTCTGACTCTGTGACGAAGGTCTCCGGAATCCTGTCCCACAGTTTTATGGCTCATATTTTCACAATAAATAGGTAAACAAACTCAGATGAACAACCCGGTCTAGAGTTAAGGGATATGGCTTTCAAGGGCACATCTGGGTGCTGAACTCACGGTACCTGAAAATCATCTTACCGCCTGACGCCGACAAGCAAGCAACCCTCCTTACGTGATACCAAAAGAGCAAAAGCTCTCATTTTAAGAGGAATTTACACACTGTATGCCCCTCGTCTTTTAAAAAGGTGATCCGTAAGTTTGGTTTTCAGAATCCTCTTCCATTTCCCGTGCACTGACTTTCTCTTTCATTCATTATTTAATAATTAAAAAGCAGGAAAGGGGGTGAAAAATGAGACAGCTGGTGAATGCAATGCACGTATGTGTCTGACTTGCAACCTCTCCTTCCCCCGTGATGGCCTTTTTGGGTCTGCAGCTGTAGGGGAACAGGGATGCGGAACCCTCTGGAAAGCTAATGGGTGCCGCCTTCTGCAGGCCCAGCGTGACTCGCTGGCCATCAACTTGCTGCCACTCAGGGCCAGACGCAGTGCAGGGGACCCACTGTGACGCCGGGCCACTGCTCCAGAGATATCAAGTTTGCAGTTTAAAAGAACAACTTCCCAGACTAATTCTTTTTTTTTTAAATGAGTAACACTAAAAAAGGACACAGTATGAAAACAGAAGGGTTTTAAAGTAATTGCACTAAAAGAAATCAATGATAAAATTATTTTCCACTAAAAGAAATGTAATTTTAGAACAAATTGTTGGTAGTATTTATAGAAGTCACAAGCAACAGCCATCAGTTTTCATTGGCATTTCAGAAAGGACCCGATGACATGGTTAGAGCTACTTCCGTTAGTGTTTTCATAGACAAGCCCAGACAATGTATGTCTTCTACATCAGCAGCTCAGTCAAACAGCAATTCTTTAAAAGACAGAAAATGAATTTTGTAGAAGAAGGCACCTACTTTCAAATGCAGGACAGTGCACTGCTGTCAACTCTGGCGTCTAGCTCAGGTGAGCCTGTCCCCCGTGCCGCCTGCGCAGTAACCACATAGCACACGAGTGCGGGCAAGACCTGCACTGACACGAGGGACCAGAGCGGAGGCAGGCGGCCCCGGCTCCAGGAGCGGGCGCCCAGGCGGACACCAGCACACAGCCCCCGACGTGGCCGCACACGCGGGAGTGCTGCGGGGCGTCCGCGCCCAGTCCGGCGGTGGGTCCAAGGCAACGCACTGCTCGCCCCATAGTAACGATGACAGCCTTGTAATTCTGGAAACATGGTTATTTTCAATAAAATCTTCCAGCTAGGGCTGCCTCGTTATCTACCCCAGAGCGGCCTGTGTACACCCTGCTCAGGAATGGTCGTCCCAACCTCATTCTATGGGAGTCTCGCGGGGGCTGGGGCCCAGGCGCCGGCATGCGCACAAACCTCCCCGGGCGACCGCAATGACTGAGTCAGGGCGCTAAGGCCGCCTGGAGCCTAGGGCCCTGCCCATCCAAAGACAGAGTCCTGAGGCTGCTGAGCAGATGCCTGGACCTAAAGGGATCCATGATCTGAGATTATTTTCACTGTGTTTCCCCTTACACCCCATTTTTTGATATGTGCTAATAATACGAAAGATAAGATCTCATGTTGGGTATCTTACGGACATAAGCAAGAATAATTCAGTGACTGCCAATCCTCAACAACAGGTATGGCCCGAGATGTCTACTTTTTTCAACTTTGACATTTTAAAGCTGGGCAGCTAGAGCCCGAGGGGTCACTTTCGCCATCGACTTTCAAGAAGAGCACCTGCACACGAGCATGCAGAGGCCAACGAGACCCACCCATAGAAAGCACAGGGCTCGGGACGCGCAGCTGCACACAAAGGGAAGTAAGACCCAAGTGTGGGCTGGGAGTGGGCAGGCAGGCTCTCCCGGAGGAAGGAAGGACTAGCTGGTGCTGGGGAGGCAGAGAGGGGCATCGTGGTGCTCCTGGGGGAAGGGGGCATCACAAGGAACAGCATGACGAAGGCTGGAAGGGCACACTGCTCTGGGGAAGCCCTGAGGAAGCATCGGTTTCCTTAAAGGGGATCAACACCGGCAAACAGTGCCGGGCCAAGCTATGGAAAGCCTGAGGAACAGGTTGAGAAATCTGCACTTAATCTTATTGAAAAATGGATTATACTTCTGTTTAGTATCAAAACTGTGCCCGAGGCACCGAAATCCCTGGGGCTGGGGCTGCTGGAGACACAGAAAACAACATCTTCCGAGCACAGGGCCCTGCAAACAGCAGGCACTTTAAAAAGGTGAAGGCTTTAAACACAAACTCTATAGCACAATACATGCACGGCTTGACTCCAGACTGAATGTCAACTTAACTTTGTAATTCATATGATTTATTAAAAGGTCTGTTAGCTCTTAAACATTAATATTTTAAGTATTGCTGTAAAGTTTATAACAGGAAAGCTAATAGCACACCCAAGAGATTACACATCCTTTTATGCTAGCTTTACCGGGAAAGGCAATAATCAAACGTTTTTTCTCCTGAAAGAATTACTTACCTAGTGTAAATCTAATGAAAAGAAATAGAATTAATAAACAGTTAAGGAAGTGTTTTTGATGTTCTTTTTCCCTAAGCTGTATGTTAATGCCAAAATGCATGGTTTAGGGATTTTTTTAAATCATTTTTTGGCATAAAAGAAGGCTGCTGGAGATTTGGAAGTGTGATTATCTTTAGGGTTCCTGACCTTGGAGTACAGTATAGCAAAACCCTAAGAACTAAAGACAGTGCACACCTGGTAGCTGAAAATCTGGATTCCTGTCATTACCAGTAACCTCAATTAAAGAAACATTTAGAATTCAGACAAATTAGAAGAGCAGGTAATGTTACCAGAAACACAAAGCAGCTGAAAAATATTTCACATGCTAAACCATTTTCCCCAGATATTTTTAATTAAGAATTCATCAGTATAAGAATGACGCTTGTCATATAAAAAAAATATGGTATGCAAATTCCTATGATAGCACGTTATGTTGTGGTTTAAGTGCATAAAGTGATTTCAGTAAGTCAAGGCCATACTGACTGGGAAAAACCCACTCGGTTAACGCTTGTCTCTCTGGACACAGGGAGCCCTCTGCTCCGCGGGCCCCACCGCCCGAAAGCACAGGAGGACAAGCGGTGGCACTGGGACAGTGTTAAGAACACAGTCACATTCTCAATAACCCCAAATTGGACTTCTCTGCCAAAACCTTATATTACAAAAGAAATGTAATCTTCCAACTAATCCATTTTTAATTTCATGCATTTGCCCACAAAAATAACCCAAACCACACTCACCTACGGGGTGTGTGTGATGCAGTAGTGCTTTTCTCCAAAACAGATTATCAAAATAATTTTTAAAGGCTATGAAACCGATCACATGTTCCACGTGAAATTTTAACAAGGGTTTGCAATTCCCTTAATGAAAACATGAGGCCCTCACCCTAAGACACTCCTAAAAGATTAAGTAAATAATCTTACAGTTCGTTACAACTGACCCAGGAGGAATTCTGCTCGTGACAGGAAAACGTGACGCCGGCCCTTCGACGGGTCGATGGGACGTGATACAAACTGCAGCAATATTTCTTGGAAATAATACTTTTCTTTTAGAAGCAAAAGCAGAGCCCACTAACTAAAGCAGAAACCGGCCACCAACACCTGTGCCCAGCCCACCCCGACCCCCAAAAATCCCCTGCAGTGGGGAAGAAAAGAAGGTGCAAGTTGAAGACAAAACAAGCGCAGATGGAAAGAAAATAAAAGCGCGACCCCAAGGGCGGGGGGCAGGGTCTCTCCGCGCCGCGTTCCGACGGCCCGGCTGGGCCGCGGGGACTTACACAGCACGGCCACGGCCCCGGACTCGAACAGCAGGCACTCCTCCTTGTGCCGGGTCTCCACGAGGATGCTGAAGGGCGGGGGGTCCAGCTTGTGGTAGACGCGGAACCCCTTGCTGAACGCCATCCTGGCGCGCGGGGGCGGCCCTGCGGGAGCGAGCAGAGCAGAGCAGATGCGGCCACCGGTCCCCGCCGCCGGGCTGCACGGCGCCCGGGGCCTCCCCGCGGCTGGGAGGGGGCGGGGAGCCGTGCCCGTCGGCCGAACGGCTTGTTCCCGGAGGCACGTCGCCCCCTCGTTTCCCCAAAGAGCGACAGGAGGAGCTACCGGCTCCCCGGCGAGCGAGACAGGGCTTCATCGATCGCTCCGCGTCCCGGGCGCGGCGTGTTTACACACGGAACCTCTGAGCGCATCTCGCGGGGAGGCATCTATCCGCTTCCCTCTTTGGGGCGCCGCTAGGTGGAAAGGGAACCCATTCGGGAACCCGAAGCCGGTCCTCGGGGGCAAAGGCCGGGGAGCAGGGGGAGGAGGGAGAGGATCCGCCGCCGCCCCGACCCCGGTCACGACCCAGGACACCGTCCCGGCCGGGGGTCCCCGGGGCTCCCGGGAAGACGGCTCCCCTCAGGGGGACGGACGGACGGAGGCGCCGAGCAGCCCAGCGCATCCACGGCGCCCGAACCGCTCGGGGTCCAGTCCCGCGGGCGGCTGTCAGCCGCTGTCACCACAGCCCCCGCCCGGCGGCGCCGCGCAACCCGCGGTCTCCGACAGACCGCCCGCCCGCCCGCCCGCGTTCCCGGCTGCCAGCGGTGCCCTCACCCCTCCGCCCGGCTGCGACCGCGGACACTGCTCTGGAAGCGGCCACCCGCGCACTCGGCGGTCCGAGGGTCTGGCCGCGGCCGCGCCCGCCCCCCGCCGGCTCGCTCACCTTTCCCTCCGGCTCCTCCTCCTCCCGCAGCCGCGGCTGCCTCTGCCACCGGAAGCGTCACTTCCGCTCCAGGAGACCCTTCTCTTCCGCATTGCGCCGCCGCCCGGGGCGGAAGGCCCGCCCCTCGCGGGGAAGGGGCGGGGTGTCAGGGAGAGGCCGCGCCCCCTCAAGAGCGCCCCTTGGGCCGGGCGCGGATTAAGTGCCTGCCGCTCCGCGCGCGGCGGGCGGTGTTTCCCCAGGGCGCCGCGGCAGGTCCCGCCGCTGGGGGTGCAGCAGGCGGAGGAGCGTCCTCCCTGGCCCCGCGCGTGGCCTGCTCAGAGCTAAAAGCGCGACTCTGGGGGAGAGCCTGCCGGGCCGGGGACGGATCCGTGCGCCGGGGACGGGAGGTCAGGACCACCCCTGGCGCCCCCGCGGCCGGGTGGGCGAGGGGCGGGGTGGGGCGGTTGCGCGCCGGGCCCTCGGGGCGGTGCCTGGAGAGCTGTCCATGGTAACATTCTGAGCGTCCGGGCGGGTGGCCGGAAGAAAAATCAGACCCCGCTTTGGAACATCTCTACGAGAGCCTTCTGCGGCGTCCCGGGGCTCTCGGGAGCGCTCTTGAAAAGGGTGCTCACCGGCACGCGGGGTGATAACTGCGCAGCCACCAACCCGGATCTGTCCGAGGGCCAGCGCCCGTCGCTGTCACTGAACGGCCTCAGCTTCTGCCAGCTGTGGCGTCCAGTGACTGAGGGCACCCAGCCCTTTCATCCTGTCCCCATTTCCCAACATCTCCTGCTCCCTGGCTGTAGCGCAGCCCCGCGGACTTCTCACTCGGTTAATAGCTCTAAGCACGGACAGGAAGTCAAAACCCGCAGACGCAGCAGGAATCGAAAACCTCAAGAACCAACACTCCGGGGAACCGTTTACTCCTGCCTTCGCTGCTTCTTCCTCTTAGTGCTTTTGTGGTAACAGCAGAAGCAGTATTTAGATTTGGCGTCGTGCACAAAATCATTTCCCCCTGCAGGCCCTGTCACGTGGCTTGATTAATAATCGTTCCTCGTCCATTTTAGAGAAGCTGGGCCCACCCAGGTTCCAGGATTCTAAAGAGGCCGTCATTCACTAGAAAGGAGGCCACTTCTTGGCCAGGATACACGGAGACTCGCAGATTCCGTTCTAAGAACTGAAGGGCGTTGCTCACACTTGGTCCTATCTCCCGAGAAAAACTGCTCTTGGTAGTGGTTACTGACAGCAGCTTCAGGATTAGACTCGCATTAAGATAATCCTCTGGCCTATGATCGCTTATTTTTATTCCCAGAAGAATCCATTTCCATTGGAGATTGCACTGGGCAGAGAAAACTACATGGGGGTGGGTGAGAATGGAATTTTCTTACGTTTTCAAATTAAACGGAAAGGGGGGGAGAGTAAGCAGGACTCATTCCTAGAGTTGTCAGAAGGCCACCGCTTTTCCAAATTTTCAAAATTGGTCATTCTCTCATGAAATAAGCACAAGCCCAAGGTTTGAAAACATAAGGCCCAGTTTTACTACTGACTTTTAAAAGATGTTATTCTTTTTTTTTTTTTTTTTTTTTTTTTTTGGTCCTTGTTCCCTATTTATACTTCCTGTTCATTACACTGGAAAATAGCTAGACAAATTTTCGCCACATTTGAAGAATGTCTTTCAGTTCAGGTTCAATGGCTCACACAAGCTTCTACATGAGCTCTGTGGGCCTCCAAAGATGGGCCGACGCTTCTGTCCCTTGAAACAGCCCCAGGTGCGAGTTCCAGATAGCAGCTCCCATAGCTTCAAAGAATTGAAAGCCAACACCCTGATCTACATATGTTGATGTTTAATCAAATTATTTCTCTCCTAAAGGCAAATTCTATCAGGTCGAAACATGAAATTGCCATTTCTATCTGTTAGAAATAACCCAATCTAATAGTATGTCCCCAGGAAACTACAGCTAGAATTTACTAATTTAGAAATGATTAATGATTATCCCAAACAATGACATAAATACACTATGCCACATTACAGGACTGGATCTCAACAGATGTTTGCCATGCCTACCTTTTCCTTACAGCCTGCATTTTCTTATCTATTGTAAAATGCTAGAAAATGTTGGGGGAATTGGAGACTCTTAACAGTCTGACCCAATTATCACGCACAGCTTTTTTCAGGTCACACGGGCTAGAGCTGACTTTTGTATCAAGAGCTGCAGGGACCTGTCAGTGGATGGAAAGGGACAGCCCCTTGTTAGAGCTGTGGGATGTTCACTCTTCAACCAGGTGCTCGGTCCCTAAGCAGCAGGTGTCTCTGGAATTTCATCTTGGCTTAAATGTAAAAGGGAAGCTTTTGTGGTCAAAGTGCTCTTGTAAAGTAGCTTAAAAAGGCTTCTGAAGGGCTTGTTAAATCTTTTATGTGTACCATGTGCTTTGAATCCTCAAGTACAGGATATAAGGTGTATTTTCCTGCATATCGTTTTAACTGGACCACAGTGTGTATTCTGAGAAACACCATGCTAGTCCTGGTCATTGTGCGGGATGAGCGAGCCTCCGAGCCCTGCTGGAGTCAGGGCTGGGGGGGCCGGTGGGGCTGGGAGGCAGACCGCTGGGCCCAGGGTCTGAGCGGGCCAGGCGGTGCCCACCCGTGCCAAGCTGCAGCGTCCCCTCCTGCCCATCTGTCCTTGCTGGGCAGCCGAGGCCACGCTCGGGAGCTGTGTGCCTAGTCCCCATAGGCCATTCCAGTCCTGGGGGTGCCCTCCGAAACTGCTGGCCTCCTTGGCATGTGAGGCCTCTCCTTTCAGACGTGATTCATGGTTCTCACGACACGGAGAGAGTCTACGTGTCCTCATTTTCATTATGTGAATCAAGACCACAACAGTCTTCGCTGTCATCAGTGAATGGCAACACCCCCTTGACTGTATGGATAATCCCAGTTAGACATGCGTTCTTGTAACCACAGAGAACCACTACTGTGTAGCAACTGACATTTAAAAAAAAAAAAAAAGGTTTAACTTTTAGAGAGAGGGAGAGAAATGTCAGTGTGTAGTTGCCTCTCACACTGCCCCCACTGGGGACCTGGCCCACAACCCAGGCACGTGCCCTGGGAATCGAACCAGCGGCCCCTTGGTTCACAGGCTGGTGCTCCATCCACTGAGCCACTCCAGCCAGGGCACAACTTATATTTCCATACTGAATTTTACAACTCTCTGACATTTGACTATTTTTAGAAGGGTTTCATGATTTCAAGGGAAATTAGCATTTAAAAGAATATTAGGTGTTTGTCAAAACTCATTGAACCGATACGTAACTTAAACGTTAGTTTGTAAGTTACACTTCACTAAACCTGGCTCTGAAAACATTAGGAAAGTCCACCTGTTGATCTGGTGCCCAGCTTAATGCATGCCAGGTGTGGACACGGTGACCGCTGCAGGGCGCTCCTCCCAGGGACTGATGCCGCCGGGAGGCAGCCTGCAGGTCCGTTTCGAGAGCAGGGGGCGGTGTGGCCACTCGCAGTCCTGCGGCCCCGGTCTGCCGCGAGGCCCGGCCTGCACCAGGCGCTGCGCCCCGGAGGCTGGGGCCCGCCGGTGGCTGGCCGGCCGGCCGGCACGCCAGGCAGCCTGCTCTGGCCACCTGGGCCCCTCGGGAGCGGGCCTTTGGGTGGCGGGCTCCGTCAGCCACGTGGAGACTCTCTTCAGCCTGCACCCACATCTGAGACCAATGGGATTCCCTCCTCCTCCCTCCGACGGGTTACTTCCTACCCCACGCCTCAGGCTGGACCAGCCCCCTCCTGCTCCCTCTCCTTTCCCCCAGTAGGACTTCCCCCCATAAACCTCTTGTACACCTGACGCCATCTGGGACCACTACCCAGAGGGCCAGACACCCTGGGCTACTTACCCTGCCCCTCCTGTCTTCCCCTGGCCAAGGGCTGTGCCCAGGTTAGCCCGCACACCCCGGCCGGGCACCCAGGCCGAGCCACGCCCTCGGGCAGAGCTGCCTGCACTGGCCGCTGGGGCCATGGGTTCATCGGGGACGTGGGTGGGGCACCCTGACTTCACACAACGGCAGTAGCCGGTCTGACTGCTTTGTATTCTCAGTAACTTCCTTTTCCAAAAACCTCCTTTACCTATTTTGAGGTCAGCCCAGAAGACTGCTCCAAGAGAAAAACTTCAGCTTTATTAAAATGTCACTCTCTGAATTTATCTTTTGACAATCCCCTCCTAAGTAACGATGTCCAATGGCTACTTCAGAAACAGAAATTTTCTGGTTGAGACGTGAGAACCACTTGTTCTACACTAAAGTCACTTCCCAACAAGGAACCAAGGAGGTCCTAGTGTTACATTCAAACCCAGTCTTGAAACTGAGAGAGACTCATGCATACAGGATAAAAAGTTCCCAAGTTTCCTGCAAGATTCCTCGAATGCAGAGAGGACAAGTAATCAGTCTATGGGTTTAGAAACACAAATTTAAGGCACAAATGATGTGCATGCCATCTATATACATGTTTCTATGTTTTATTCCACTCAAGTTGAGAACCAGTGTTCTTGGTTTAGTTCTTTCGGGCAGCCACAAAGGAGTGATGCACAGTCCACCTGGAACGAACACATGCAGGTACGTGCCGTGCCCCTACGACAGGCAGGGAGCTGAGCGCCCAGTCGGGGCGCGTGGCACGGTTCTAAGAGCCTGTGCGCTGGCCGAGGGTCCGCCTGCAGGCCAAAGTCTCACTGGGTTAGGCTCACCTGAAATGCTGTCGCCAGAATTAGTCGCCAGCAAATACAACAAAGGACAGAACTGAAAATTAATTTAATGCTTGGCTAAAGCTTAATTACATATAATTATCAAACAATAGTCCTTAATTTTCAAAAAGTTCCTCTTTTGAAAATCACAGACTCAGAAGGCATAAACTTTAAAACAAGTTCTCTGAATATTTACAGTGTGGTACAAACATTATAGAAGACCACAGATATTAAACTGCCTGGGTGTGTGGCGAATCAGCAAGGCGTAGTCCTTATTGCATATGTAATGCACACATGTGGGCTTTCAAGTGGGACAGGTTACTAACTTCAAATGCAGGTGTTGTAAGCTGGCCAGGGAGTGAAATCATGAATGAGGTCAGTCAGCCCAGACCCCTCGGTTAGGTTGTGGGCCTATTATTTCCAAAAATTAAACTTCCACATTCTTCTAAAAACCTGTGTTGCACACATCAGAGTCCACAGGAAACCGCCAGGGGACGGCCACGCTGATCCGGGGGAGGCGGCGCAGGCTCGCCCAGCGGGGACGCCCCCCTCCGCCGCAGGTTTAAGGCAGCACAGCGACCGTGACTACCGCCCGAGAAGGGGCGCCAGGCCACTCGTCAGCCCTCTGTCCAATGGGGGTGGAGGATGCAGTTTCCCATGACAGTTTGCTGCTGAGCAAGTCTCCGCTGTCAAACGGCTCTGTCGAAAAGCGCCAGGAACATCCAGGGCAAAAGGAACCCCAGGGCAGCGTGGACAGAGAGGCGCCAAGACACGGCCCCCGCGGCGCCCGCGGCCACAGCGACCTGGTGGGGCGGCCGGCCCGGGCCCGCACGCAGAACAAGGCTGCTGCAGCCCAGGTCTGGCTGGCGATAAGGAAGACACTCACCAGCTTCCTAGAAATAATCTGAATGCCTTTCATTCCGAAGAAATCGCATTTAAGGACACAGTATTGAATATTAATGTTCTTTGTATTAAAACAAGAATCAGTATTTTACAGTTTAAGAAACTTTACATATATACAAAATTTATACATTAGGAATGGTATTAAAGCAAATAAGCTTTTCAGTCTCATAGACCTATTTTCCTTCAATCAAAGACTTAAACTCTTTCACATTATGGTCACTTGCAACAGACAGGGCATGATCCAGAGCTCGGACACTTGCAAGGAGCTTTACTATCTGTTTTATGTTTTCCCTGAAAGAGAAAAAAAAAATGCAGCAGCATTTCATTAATTCCCTTAGTGAAAATAAGTAACAACCAACACCAAAAATGAAATTAAAATATAAAGCAAAGTTACCTGCCGAAGAACTTTACCATAAAATTTTTACTACCTACTTTGCCTTTAATTTTTATCATAAAACAAATCTCCTCTTTAAAAAATAAGGTCGCTTTACATGGAAGAGGGTAAGATTAATGGTGTGATCTAAATGAAAATGCAACTGTATTATAAAGACTACATGAAATGCAGTGTGAAAAAATTATTTCACATTGTACTAATTATTATTTACTTTTTATGCTAGAGATTTATCCAAAACGTACATAACATCCAAGACAGCGTCTACAAAAGGAAATCACAATTTATTTGTTCTTTCCTTGTAACCTCTGATAAAAATCACACATAAGCAGCTTCCCAAAAGCGCTGAGGGGCGCCCCGCAGCCTCCAACGGGGAGCAGCGCCCCTCCTGCCAGCGCCTCCGCCGGGGGGAGCCCGCAGTGCTCTCCGGGGCCCCCGCCTGCCATCTCCGGGGTCTATGCCTGCCTGCGTCTCCAAAGACCAAGACCCCCAGCCCGCCAAGAGCCTGAAATGGTCCAGCTCTTCGAAGGAGGAGACAGGAGGCCGTGACTCATTCACTGCCTGAGGCCCGGGCCTCACCAGCAGCCTTTTCTTACCACCCTCCTGAATATCCTATTGGAAAAGATTAGGCAAAACCACAAAAATAGAAAATATTGTGTATTTTTGGCACGTTTGCCAACACTAAGTCAAAGTACAGTTTAAGCTAAAATATAAACGTGTCTCAACTTAAAACCCTTTTATGACACTGAGTCTAACAACAAAGTGAGGGCCGGAGCACCATTCCATTAAGGAATCACAAACGGTTACCTTGCATTTCTTTTTTCCACATCAGAGCACCCGATGCTATTTCTATAAATCGTATCTGCTAAGTGTACGAGGTATCGACAGAAGTTTTCTAACTGAGAAATAGTTCTTTCTCCTTTCAGATTCATGAACCACTGCTTGGGGAAACAATTGATTACCTGCGGAGAAAATGGAAAATAAAGAGTTGAAACAGAGTAAGAGGCAGTGTCTGAAAGCTGAGTCTAGATAACAGGCATCCTGTGTTTAACTAGGAGACTCTCTCCTGGGCCTTATGCGAATCATTTGGAAGGGATATTCCTTTCAACCTAAGTTAACTATGTAATTTTCCTTTATATATCTGAATTTTTACTTCAACACATGAATCAGATACTCAAAGCAAAAGACGAATAATTTGTCCAATCTATAAACATACTAGGGACATGATACTGATAACCAATTCTTCACTCTTCGGTCTCCCAGAGAGCCCCAAAAGCGCCGGCCCGCCTTCGCCCGCAGCGCCGATTTAGAACCCAAGCAGCGAGGCACCACCAGCAGCACCCCGGGCGGAGGGCGGAGTCCGAGTGGCCAGAGTGTGGCGGGGGTGGGGCTGGGCGGGGGAGCTTCCCCCAAAGAGGCGGCGAGGCCACGAGAGGCCACGAGAGGCTGCCGGCGCCTGTGCAGACCCCCGGCAGGTGGCAGGCGGGAGCCCTGCGGAGGGCAGGCCTGGGGCGGAGCACGGGCCAGGCGAGCCTGAGCACCACGCGAGGGGAGCCAGAAAGCAGGCTGGCACCGCCCCAAACGAGAGGGTGTGTCACAGCCTCACAGAAGTCAGTGGGAAGGGACTGCCACCAATGAAATCCGCCAAAGATGCAGAACCTGAATCTAGTGAGACTATCAGATGAACCCAAACTGCAGGGCGTTCTACAAAATAACTGGTCTTTCATCTTTAAGAGACTGAGACAGGACAGTTAAATGCGAGGGACCATCCGGGAGCTTGCTGCCAATCTTGGCTTTCGCACCAGGATTACTGGTGACCATGACAGAGCTCGAGGCTGCAGCACCACAGGAGCGTCAGTGGCCTGGCGCGACGGCTGTGCTGGAGTCACAGAGAGGGGCGGCCACGTTCGCAGGAAACACACACAAGCACCCGAGGGCCGGAGGGTATCCTCAGAGAGACCCTGACGCTGTTCAGGAAAAACTGCGCTGCGCTTGCAGATATGCTTTAATTACGCAATTGTTTCAAAAAATATTTTTTAAAAATATCAAATTATGGAACTCATATAAAGCAGAAAAAACAGGACTAAAAAAATCATTTCTTGCCCCAGCCGGTGTGGCTGCAGGGGCCGGGTGTCGTCCTGTAAACCAAAAGGTGGCAGGTTCAGTTCCCTGTCAGGGCACGTGCCCGGGTTGTGGGTTCGACCCCCGGCTGGGGTGCGTGCAGGAGGAAGCTAATCCACGTTTCAGTCACAGCAACAATTCTCTCCCTCTTTCTCCCTCATTCCCCATCTGTCTGGAATCAATACAGGAAAAATAAAATTTTTAATCATTTCTTAAATGAGAAAAGAAACTACTTCCTAGTAGAGCTCAAAAAAAAAAGGAATTTATTCAACTGTTAAAAAATTATCCTGAAATTAAAACTTTTATTTTATAGCTGCAAAAATACTGACACAAGCAGATGGATGGGTAGAGATACACACACACAACTGTCCAAGTTTTCATGTGAAAGAGGCCGTGGCGGTTGGAACTAGCTGGGCGGTCACAGTGACCGTCAACCTCACCCTAAGCCCGGTAATCCAAGGGGTTTCAGCGAAGTCTCAAAATTCCCTTCAAACAAAGAACACAACCCACTTTAACTCCTGTGCCGCGGGAATGGCCACGCGCGCCACCCGACTCACGTTTTGGGCTTTCCTGATGCTGTCGTCGCCGCACTCGGAGTTCTGGAAAGCCATGAGGATGTACCTGTTTAACAGGCCGTCTATGGCCAACTCTTGAAGGGTCTTATTCGAGAAGATGCCGTTCCACTGAAGGAAATTGCCTAAGAGCTGGAAAAAAGAGGCCAAGGGTGGGCGCCAGGACCCGCAGCGCTGGCCCCGTCCGGCTGCACCGAGCCCCCCCACCCCCACCGTTCCTCGGCCTCTCCGGTGCCGCTTCCTCAGGGAGGAAGGTCGTCTTCGGTGGCGCGCCGGTCGGGGTCTCTGTGGCCCTGGTCAACTGCGCCCTATGGCCTTGGACCCCGCCCGCCCGCCAGCGCAGCTGGACGGCCAGGTCCGCAGAGGCCCGACTCCCCTCTCGTGCGGCGCTTCACCCCGAAGCTGAGAAGAGTACGGCGCTCTTCTTTTTTAACACACTGTGGGCTAGCAAGGCATTTTGCTGACAGGCCTGGACCTCACTTTGGAACTCAGAATTCATTTTATTCTATGGAAACACCACACCTGAGTAAACTTGGAAAAAAATATTTTGCAGAATGGAGACTTTGTATATGTACATATATCTAAGCCTATGAAGTTAATGAAATACAAAAATACTTTCTAAAACATAACATACAAAGTCAAGCAAATGTCAAGTGTGTTAGATACCCTATAGATACATACCTTAACTGACGACCAAAACTGCCGTTGAAAGAACAAGTAAGGCCCAGAGTTTTTATTTTCTAAAACACTAGAAGAGAAACACACCATGTTCACATGTTTTATAAGTACCACGTGATTCCTAGAACAGAATATTTCTATGAGTAAAATGGGTAACAAAAGAATTTAAAAATTTTTAAACTACAATCCAGAAGATCGTAAGCTTAAAAATTGGACATTTATTCTGAGACACCAAGGGAGAACAAAGAGCATTATTTGCTTTATTCCACTAGTCCCTTCGGGCCACTGGTTCGCACTACAGAGGTAAAATTCATGGGTCAAGCTGCCATTGGTTTTTCCAGAAACCAGCAGCCTCCCAGAGGATGCGGGAGATGATAATCATCTTTCATTCTCAGGAGTCACTTACTTTTTGGGGTACAAGGGCATGAACACATCATCATCCAAAGTTCTTCTCATTCTCAGTAAGAGCGCTTTCAGGTACACCTGGACACACAAACACAGACGGAGCGCTGTGACATGGGCTGTGTGAGGGCCACAGACAGGCCGCGCGCCCAGTCGCAGAACTCAGTGTTCAGCTGGGAGTGAGCGCTCTTAGCACGTTTCTCACTTTCCTCGCTGAGAGCCCTGCGGTCTCCAACTGCTGTTCCCTTAGTTTCCCCCTCAGCAATCGCCAAGCACTAAAGCCGCTGAGAAATCTTTCAGCTCCTCAACCTACTATATATAAAGATTTAAAATCAGACATGTAATCTGGTTCTTCTCAAAAGTATGTCACTGAAAATATAACAGTGATAAAGAGCACCTTTTCTATGGCTGAATAGCTCGTAAGAATGTCCAATGAGGGACAACATCAATTTGAAGTTTGGAAACTAGTGATAAAAAAAATACTTAGGGATTTTACATGCTATTTAAATGTTTTAGCACTTAAATCATCAATTATTACCCATTCTAGTAGTTTCAGTTTTTCCCCCTAAAACATACAATTTGTATAGAGATAATTAGTTGGAGTGGGAGTCAGCACGGAGTGGTAGAAAGGGTGAGAACAGTAAAACTGAGAGGCGCCCTTCCATGGGGACACTTTAAAACTGAACACTACGATCTGAAACTGTATTTCAGGCTCTATAAAGGAACAGACGGCCCAAGTGGGAGGGTCAGATTTTCGGGGTGACTTGGAACCTAACCACTCATTCACTCAGCTCCTGCTCACTTTCAAAAGGACAGGGAATAAAAACCAAAAGCCTTTCGTAGGTAATAACTGAATTACCTGTGTATTTTTGTTTTCTGCATTCACTACTGAAGGATATCCATCTATTAATTTCAATGTGATTCCAACCATTCTTGAAGTCTGTGTTGTAGAAAAAGGGTCCCACATGTTTTCAGCTATCACTATTAAGAAAAAGGTAAAATGTGCGGAAATACAGTTATTTGGCAGCTGACTTAAGTCTGATGTTAGGCATCCCCCCCGCCCGGCCCTTGCAAGACCATAAGCCTTTGTCCAAATAGCCACGGGAAAGTGCGGGTTAGGCAACGCAGAGGGGAAGAGTCCTCTGCTCTCTACTGATCGGTAAGAATACAGATGCGGGCGGGGGGAGAGCTCGCTATCCTAAGAAATACTGTCTCAGCAGCAGGACTTTCTAACTGAACCCGAAAGCTTATTGTAATACTTTAAATCGGCTCCTATATCACTGATCTCTACTCTGTGAGAAGCCGAGGAAAGCACGGAGGCGGCTCCCAGGGAAGCGCACGCGCCCCCAGCTCTGCGTTTTGCTCCGGGCCGTCTTGCGGGCTCCGCCACTGGACAGCAGGTCAAGTGCTGCCCCTCCAGGCCCACCCCAAGGTGATCCACGGGCGAAGGGACACGTATCTACCCATCAGCCACCTCGGGGCCCGGCGGCAACTTGACCATCTGTAAGGACACGCCTCTGGGAAAAGAGGCTTTGGCTCAAGGCCCTGAGCGCAGACCCAGGCCACCCGCGCACCCGCAGGGGGCCGGCTCGGAGCCCACCTGTCAGCTTGGGAAGCAGCACCTTCTCCACGACGGTGGGCAGCAGCGCCAGGTCCACGTCGTCGCGCTCCTGCTCGCGCTCCTCGCAGCCGTAGAACAGCAGGGACTCGAACCACAGCATGGTCTCAAAGTCCCGGCACCCCGCCTGCGGCAGACGAAGCGGCCCACCCACACATCACACAGCGGCGGCCGCTGCTCCCTGCCGCGGGGGAGGGCAAGCCCTGGGCCTCGCCGTGCGCACAGGCAAGGCAGAAGTGGGCAAAACACGGGGACCCCTGCGTTCAGACACCGTGGCGCAGGACCGTGACCCCAGAAAGAAGGGGCTGCAGTGAGGTGAGCGGGCACGGGAGCTGCCCAGCCTTGGAATAGTTCAGGTCCTCCTTTCCTATGGCTCTGCGTTCCAGGATCAAAGGACCAAGTTCTTCCTGTTCACTCATGGTCACAGCCCAGTGTCACCATAAATAATTCTGGTGACTGAGAAGGGCATTTTATAGAAACTGAAAAGCACCAGAGAGCTCCCTTGAGCTCTGCCAATACAAAGACCCCGGGATCACAGCAGCCACCACCAGCATCCATTAAACCCTGGCACCCCACACTCCTGAAACAGGCTGTGCTTAAGCTCACATCTCTAGCTTGGAGATAAAACTACCCGGCATTGTGTCACGTGGCTTTCCCACGGTGACAGAAGCCACCCACCTCAAGAGGCGTCCAGGTGAGAAGCTGCAGCCTTATGAGGGGGTTGAACAGCTTTGGCAAACAGAGGCCGATGTAGGCATCCTTGTAAGACAGGTAGTATTTTGAACGCCATGCTTCAAACTGCGATTTAATACAGTCGATCGAATAGAAACTCTCCAAAACATCTTCAAACACCTTGCTGGACTCTTTTGAAATGCGATCTAAAAACAACAAAACCCCACAGAGAACCATAATTTAGCGTGTACTAGAAAAAACACAGTGCAGGATTTTCAGCATTTCCTTTGTAGGTTGAGTATCACTATAAGATAGACTCATTAACAAATAACTGTTAATTACAATTTAAAAGGATACACAGTTAAGTTTAGGTTTCAATCCAAAGGGCAGTGCTCTTGCTTTTGAACAGGCCCCGTATGTGCCACCTTCTGTTGCGGTTTGGTGACAGCACGCCTGTTCTCCGGCAACCCAGCTCAAATTTCAGTCACGGCGGCGTATGGGCGGCAACAGAAAGCGCCAGCTCTGCAGCCGGCTCCTCTGTCCACTAATGGCTGTGTCAGGTACACGTGTGCACCAGACCCGGCGACGAGCCCCACCTCTCCCCCCGCACTCAGCTGCTGGCCGCAGTAACCGACACTGACGAGTCAGCCATCAACACCGGCAGTGTCCCGACTGAAAGGGGTCTGGTGGCCCCGGCGACTCGAGAGAGGGTGACCTTTGCACCTGCAGAGACCCAGTTGTGGCGACACACTTCTCAAAAACCAGTCTTCTCAAAACCAACCCAACCATCGGTAACAGAGGAACCAACACCTGTCCTGTGGTTATACAGTCATGAAGAGCATCGTGCATAAAGTATTCTGGCCAAAAGAAGTTAACCTCAATCTAACCCTAAATTCCAGTCCACGGGAAATACAGAGAATGGAAGCACAAGCGAACACCATGAGGAAACAGACAAGCCTAGCATGCACGACATTCTGCAAGACAAGTGGCCTAGTCTCTTCAAAAAGTTAGTATCTTAAATAAGTAAGAGGGGTGCTTGTATAAGGTGCTCGTGAACACTTGTTAATTCTAGATAAAAAGATGTAACAACCAAATATAGGGCAGGAACCTTGTGTGGATCCTGGTTTGGAAAACGGAAAAGCCCACAAAAAGGGTATTAAAATGTTTTGGGGAGGCTGCAGCTGAGGACCACTGAATACAGACACGACATTAAGAAATTACAGTTAGGCCCTGGCTGCGTAGCTCAGTTGGTTAGAGCGAGTCCCGACCCGCCAAGGTTGCGGGTTCCATCCCTGGTCAGGGCACATACAAGAGGCAACCAATGAGTCCATCAGTAAGTGGAACAGCAGATCGGGGTCTCTCTCTCTCTCTCCCCCCCCTTCCTCTCCAAAATCAATGAATTAAAAAATTTTTTAATTAAAAAAAAATTTTAGTTACTTTCCTTAGGTGCAACAATGGTATTGTGATCAGGTAGAAAGGAAACACACTCAAGTTTTGAGAGGCAAGTGTCGACTTGTGTGCAAGTTCCTGCCCATGGTCCGGCAAACACGCACCCGCACGCGAAGAGCGAGGGCCACCCCGGTTGGACGCCGGTAAGAACCGAACCCGGGTGACAGGCGCAGGGCGAGCGCTGCACCGCTCTTTCAAAGCGCCTGCACGTTCAGGGGTGCTCGCAGTGAGTCAGGGGAAGAGAAGCAAGCTTCTCCCGCTGGGGTCCAGGAGGCCGGCAGCCCGCGGCGAGAGACGAGGGCTGCGCTTCGGGGACTCCTCCGAGACGCCCAGCTCAAACCAGCACTAACTGTCCTCCTGGCCGATGTTACTCAGGGCCCGAATCAGGAGTCTCCCTCAGGGCCACGCGCCCCCACCGGCTGTGTCTTTCGGGACCAGACGGCTGCCCTTGGGACCTGACAGGCTTTTTGGTCACTTAAAATTCTTCAGTTCTGAAGAGCAGTATCTCATACGATGCAAGTGCCGAAAGCCGCGTGGCAAGGGGTTAACGCTCCACGAGAGCACTCCTGATGCGCCGCAGCGAACGGCTGCGAGCTTTTGAAGCGGGGCGGGGGAGGGGGGTGCCCAGGTCTTATGCAGGGGCCGCCACCACGAACCGCCGGTGCAGGCGAAACCCCACCGCCCCCGCAGAAGCCAAACGGCATTGCTCTCATGCCCAAATGCACGGCTCACCTTTTTCCAGATTGAAATTGGTAATGTCTGTAGATGTTTCTTCATCGTCGCTGGAAAGGCCTTCGAGGTGGTCTGCCATCTTACCGGTCTGCTCTCTGGCTTGTCGCCGACGGGTCCTAAATGACACATGGCGAGTTCCCAATCCAGGCCTGAGAGACACCACCGCGGGGGGGCCCCACCTGCACGCGCATGGTACCCACCTCCTGGCCTCCCGCTCCGCGATCCGGCGCTTCGCGTGCTCCTGATACAGGGCCCGGTCTCGCCCGAAGGAATCGAGATTTGGTGCCATCAGGGCTTTGTCTGTAAAACAGCAATGGCTACAATTACAAGCCGTCTGCAACAGTCTCGGGGAAAGAGTTTGCACAGAATAAGCCACAATGACAGGCGGCTCGCTAACCCCAACAGCAGGACGCTGCCATGGCTGGCAGCCCGACCGCGTCCCAGTCCGAGCGACTCCCAGGGTCGCCCTGTGCTCCCCCCGGAGCAGGAGAAAGCGAGCTCGAGCCCTCTAGCAGCGCAGCTGGACAGAACCCCCGTCTTTATGTCTGAGGAGCAGAGGTTGATGCTATCGTGACCACCAAGGAAGCTAAAAAGCTACACTCCCTGTGCAAAGGGAAGATAATAGATTACTTCTTAGAAAGAACTGAAGCATCACACGTTGAACGATATGAAATGACAGGAAGGAAACCTAGGTAGGATGCGAAAACAGCTTTGTTGCAAGCGCTGCGTAACTTATTCTTTTATTCTAATTCTGCTTTGTAGAAACTTAATTCCTATCACTGTTTTACTAGGTCAAGGGCGGCCTCTACATGTAACCTGAAAACTGTACTTGAGTAGGACCGGCTCATGCTTTCTCAAACACGAGTACTCTTTTAAAACACAATTCCCTATTTCTTTTCTACCTATTTTCCATCTCTCTTTTTTAACTTCCTAGGGCAATTTTTTAGCTTTAGCTTCTAAACTACCTATTTAAATTTACATTTCAGTTACCATAGTTTTAGTTTCCAAGAAGCAGTTCTTGTTCTTAGGACACCGCTTCCTGACAGCACCCTCTAGTGGTCGGACCTGCCGCCTGCACCGTCTCCGTGGCCCCCGCCTGGCGGCCCTACCACTTGCGCTGGCGCTCTCCACGCGGCCGAGCGCCCGGCCGCCCCCGGGGGCGGGGGGCCGTCCAGCGCAGCCCTCTCGGTCAGCTCCCTGGGCCGACAGTCACCTCTTCTGTTGGGGGTCCCAAGACTGTTGGTGTCTAAGGGTCTTCTCCCCGAAGCCACTCTCCTCCAAGGAAGAGCCCGCCCATCTCTCGCCCAGGGCGGCAGGAGGAGCGAGGGGGGCGTCTGTCCGCCAGCCGTCCCTCCTTTGTCCCTCCTTGCTCCGTGGTGGTGCCACACCATGAATACACTCTGGAGCACACTAGGTCCTCACTGGCACCTGGCTCTGTGACTCGGCGTGAAACAAGGCGTGACAAAACCCATTTCACTGCAGGCTAGTTATACATGGACCTGCTGCTGCGTATGGACAGCAACGGAAGTAAACAGCCCAAGGGGCGGTGGGGAAACTCAGACAAAATGAAGGAAAAGCTTTGGCAAACGTTTCCCCTGGGTGTGTCACCACCAGCGGTGGCAGGAAGGAACGAAGAGCAGCTCTCTGCACTGCAAGGTCTACCTCCCCTGGACCCTATTGTTTTTAAAGGCGACTTTCTTACTGAGTTTTTCACTCATATATCAAAACAGCTCAAATATTAGGAAGGATGTTCAAGCACTCACAAATCACCAAGAAAGATTCGTACATAAGATGCCCGGCTTTACCTCAAGTGTGCGTTTATGGCACGTCATGGTGAATTCGTTAAAAAGTCTCAAACTACAGAAACAACTCCTGCCTCTTTAAGAGGTACCCTGGGTTAGAGAAATATTTTAAAGAACATGCATTACTATAATAAATACTTAAAACGTTGCCATGTTCATGGATTTTTAAAAATTGATACTGAGGGAGATTGCAGAGAGGATAGCGCCTTCATTCCTGTGAGAACTGAACGCAGCATCTGCGATTAGTGTTTACAAATCTAGAGGCGAATTCCTGGCTTTTTTGTTTCTTTGTGAAAAGATCAACCTAATTAGCATGCATCCCCTTCAACCCTTACTTCTAATTCCATGCAAGTACGTAACTCCAAATTATGAACAACAGACTGCAGGCAGGAAGAGGCATCTGATGAAGGGCACAGCTCACGCTAACCGTCCGACCGAGAAGGAGATCCCCTCCCTTCACCGCTGTGACGGTACCTCTCTGCCCCAGAGACCTGGTTCTGTCTGGATCAAGCGCGACCCTGGAGGGACGCATTCGCCACCCGGTGCACACACAGCGACCCTCCCACGTAAACTCGGGTGGCAGCACCGAGGGGCCCGGCCGCAGCACGGCTCCCCCGAGTACGGCACGGCTCTCCGTGCCACTTTGACCGCCAGGCACAAGGGGGTGCTCTCGGGGGGACCCTCTGACATAGCGCGGTTTTCAGAACGCGTAACACCAGGCCCTTGCACTTGGACGACCTGGGGTGGCTGTCTAATACGCAAGTGACTTGCCACCACCCGAGACCTAGCCAGACTCTCGGGGAAAGGCCCAGGAAGCCTGCCCCGGGGGCTTCCTGCCGGGGGGCTTCCTGCCGGGGGCGACTCTGAAGCGCGCCCCCGAGGGCCACCGCGCCTTGCCGGCACTCAGCACAGAGCCACAGGCACCCCACGGCATGGGAGGGAGCAGAAAAAACAGGATGGAAAGGTTTAAAACATCTGGGGAAACAATCTCAGCTAAACTGTTTACTAAAAGGTTTCCAATTACTTTTCGTTTTCTATAGCGTGCACCATCATGAAAGGAGTATAAATTCAATTTCTAAATTTTTACACTGGTATTTCAAGAAATGTAGGCATGAACTGACTTACTAGAAAACCTAATATCGTTTGTAAGACAAACTGCAAAATACAAACAATTTTGCTTTATCCAAAAGGTGAGGCTCACATCCCATCTGTGACACGCGGTGAAACCGCTCTGCCCCCGAACTCCCCCGTCCCCGCGAGCGACCGCAGCCCTTGCGTCGGTGTTATCAACAGGGTGAAAACGGGGCAAAAATCAGTCAGAGCCAAACGGACAGTGGCCTTAAGGTAAAATACTACGACGACTTTTCTAACTCTAAAGAATAAAAAAAAGCCCAAAGAAGAATAGGACTGAGAGCATATTAGTACATAGTTTTGAGCTCCTTTGAGAAGCTCTATTTTCTTAAATACAACTCAGGTACATGCCGTTATAAGTTTTAGATCTACTTAACACAAGAGCAAGGGAATTATTATTTTAAAAAAAAGATGCTCTGAGATCTCTAACTTTCAATTAGGCTGCACTAAGTAAACAAGGTTGTTTAATGAATAATAAAAACCTTCAAGATGGACTGACTTGAATGGCTTGAAAACTCCGAAGATTCATCTTTAATATCATCTTGTCGTCTTTGGACAAGGCGGGAGGCTCGCTGTTTGTACAGCTGATGTATTGCTGATTCAAGTTCGTTAATCAGTGGCACCTGTGAAAATACAACACACTCCGTAACACCAAACTCCTCGGCTGCCCCCGTATTCGAGGGGTCCGCACTACTTCCGGATTCTGAGACAGCACCCTCTACGGACAGAATGACCATAAACTCCCAATGGGACACAAATGGCAAGTCAGTTTCCTGATGTTTCAGAAACATCACGTCTTTTGATCCACGAAGGGAGCTATCATGTCTGGTGCCTAGTTACTGGAGCAAAAGTTTAGTTAGGAAACTTAACACATCAGTATCAGCAAAGAAATTTCAAAAGTTGTACTGCTTTTTTTAGAATAAAGTACGTGGCAGTCCGTTTAAAGTCCGTTTTTTATTTTCCGGCAGCATGACCTGCCGGGCGACTGTTGTAGCTTCAAGCAGACCGTCAGCACCGGGGACACCCAGCCAGCGCGGTGGCTCTGGGAGTCGGCAGGACGGCGGCCGCCGGCCGCCCAGGGGCAGACACTCGGCGGCCCCGCGCCCTGCGGCCACCTCCCGCGCCGCAGCCTCACACGTTTTAAGTGTGAACTGCATCCGTTCACGTCACTGAAGCAAACACAGTCTCTAGCTACAGCTAACTTGTCTGAAATCAAACTCAGGAAGCTCTTCTCATCATTTACGTGTTTCCCTACTTTGTAGTAAAATAAAACTCCTCACATCAATTGTCATTTTACGAAGTCGGTCAGTTTTCCACGTCACTACCCATGACTCAGCATTCACGGGGTTCACGTGGAACACGAAAGCTTATAGAGCGGGGCCTAACCTAAAGAGAAAAAGCAGGAAGCGCTATTGATAACCTTACGTCACAAGGCAACGCGAGGACACTGTCGCAGGCACTAGCCGCCGCGGCACACACCTGAGGAAACCGGGAAGCCTGCTTCCCGGGCTCAGTGCCAACAGAGAACCCATCGCTCTGAGCCCGGGAGCGCCGGCCCCAGGGCCCCGGCAGCGTCCTGAGCAGGCTGCCGACGGACCCTGCAAGCGGCGGGCAGAGCGCCACGGTGCCTGCAGCCGGAGCAGCTGGGCCGCTCGCAGGGTTCCACTGCAAGGGCAGCAGTGTCCACAGGAAGGTCCGGGTAATGAAGTTATTTTATTTGTAAGAGGCTGCACTGTGGGCAGCACTGTCCCCGCGTCTGCCCGTCTGCACTGAACACCTCTGACAGCTGAGCCCAGGGACTGTCTTTAAAATGCACGACAGGCGGCAGTTTAGCAGGCTCTGCAGAGCCACCCTGGCCTGGCCGCCGCCCCGCCCTTGAGCAAAGGACAGGCGCAGGGGACGCCTCCGGCCTGGAGGCTGTGGACGCCCCCCGACCCCCCAGGCCGCTCCCAGCGAACAGGGTTCACTCCTTCAATTTGGTTAGAATTTTGATAACGTGATTTTCCTGCTTAGGAAATTGGAATGCCTTTAATAAAATCCAGAGAAAATTCTGAGAATAAGGGCCCTAAAACACCTTTTTAGCCCTCACTCATGTTTCTTAACAATGTCAATTCACCTCAAGAGTATATGCATCATGAACAATTTCTTTACCCTCTCCGACCTCAAAACTGTTATTACTGTTATTATTTCAAGACCAAGTAACAAGGCGAACACCACAAGCAAGAAGATGGCTTTGGGAAAGCAAAGCGAGGGAGGCCAGGGTGGTCCGCAAACAATCCCAAACCTAGTTCAAAACCACATAAGCTTCTATAATAAAAGAAGAAAAACCAAAGAAATGTTTACTTTTTTATGATCTTACCCTGAAATATTATTTTTATAGAAATAAAATGAATACTCAAATCTGTCCAATTGTTCTCATTTCCAAGATGACAATTTATGACATTGTTCACTCAACGAGTCTCTTAAAATGGGATGTATATGAAAATGCTAAAAGGAAATAAAATACCCATTCTTGAAAGAGGGATTTGTCTCCCTCTTTCAATTCCAGCGCCGTTGCTGTGCTGTCTCAGCCCGGAGCCCGGAGCCGGCACACCGGACACAGCCCAGAGCGGGCTCCAGTTAAAGGCCGCAGAAGCCGCAGACGGCTCAGCCGCCTCTTGAGCACAAGGACGGCCCTCTAGATGGCCCTGCCACTGCCGACGTTCTGCGACAGCGCAGTCGGCAGCAGGGGCAAGGGGACAGCTTAGTGGGGAGGCTGCAGAGCCAAGGCCCAAGGCCGGGGGACGAGCCCCACCCGCACGTGCGGTTGGAGACCCAGGCCCCTTCTCCGGCCCCACGAGGTGAGGCGGCTCCTGCTTGGCCCGCCACGGCCCAGGGGCAGCAGCATTCGCGGGCAGGCACAACCGCCAGCTGACCCTGTCGCCCAGCCCTTGCACGGAGGGCGGCCCGGGTCTCTCTCCGGCCCCTGGGCCTGGCCACCCTGAGCCACGGATCTGCCTCCAACGATACATCAGAGCGCAGCTGTAGCTGCTGCTCCAGAGGTTAGGCGGTCGGGAGGAGAACGCGACCCACCCGACAGAGGACCTGCTGCGAGCTGCCCCAGGCGGGACCTGCTCCCGCCCCTGAGGAAGACCCAGGCTGGCGGGCTCTTGCGCCACTTGGGCTTCAGAGCATTGAAGTTATCAACAGAGATGATAACAAGGCACATCCTCCTGTACACATGTCAGGTGCTGACAGGTTCTGTGCGAACCCACAGAGCCGAGAGTGAGGGAAAACATGACCTCTGACCCTGTACCACCTGAACAGTTAGGACGCCCAAAGCACCAGCAGTTTTGCATTTTTTAAAGATAAGGCTGCAAAAGCCACAAAGGCTCATCAACAATAACCCTTATCTTAAAGAAGAAAAACCAATTCAGAGGTTGTTTGAGAGAAAAGGGGTTTCTCTATGCAGCTAACATGGCAATGTAATTCACACTAAAAACATTAAACTTCATGCTAAAAATCTGACGCTCATACTAAAGAGAGAGAACAGGGGAAAAATGAGACCTTAAAAGAAGTGACGGCCAATGGATGGTCTCTGGCACGGATGGGGTGCAGGCTTACTTGGATGGCAGCTATTAGTGGCCATGGGGACCAATTTCATCTAGGGAAGAAACTAAAAACTCATACAACTGTGCAACTTCATGCACATTTGGAATTACTTGTACAGTTTAAAGACACATTTGGACATGAGCCATGAGCCAGAAAACTCTGCCAGGGGCGCCCCTGCAGCCTGCCAGCCCGGGCGGGCCTGCTGGCCACCCGCCGCCGCGTGAGGGCCGGGCTGTCTGTCCTCACCGTCAGTAAGGGCAGCGCACGCGCCCCAAGACCACAGAGCCACTAACAAGGGAAAAAACGAAGCGTAACTTTTTATCACCTCTAAGGTCAAATGCAGCGGACATTCTCGGAGGAATACAGAAACATCTACACAAGGCCAGCTAGGCCTCCCCAGTTCTGCCTTATCAAAGGGAGTAGTATCTGTGCATTCTTACCTTTTCACTGAAACACTCAAGCAAGTCTTGGACATACCCTCGCATTTCTTGCAGAAACTTATACCGTTCGCCAGTGCCCCCCGCAGACCCTTCCAGCCTTTCAATCGCCCTGGTAGAGTCCACGCGGCTCTGCAGGTGCTTCTCACGCTGCTGCTGGTTTGCTTTGTGCACTTCCTTCATGGCGTCCAACCTGGGCAACACAAGCGGCCGAAGGGAACACATTTACTCCCCAGGGTCTCTGCCGTCAGGACTCTCGCAACGTTACACTGCATCCAGCCCCACGGTTAAAGTACGCACAGTGCCATCTTTCCATCTGGACTGCTTTTCTCTCAAAAAAAAACAAGGAAGGGAGGGAGGGAGCAGTGTGCGCCCTCCAGAGGAAGTCGGCCGGCGGCTGCCCGCACCTGCACTGCCGCCCCCCCCCCCCACCCCGCCGCAGCTTGGCCGCGCTTTTTCAGAGTCCGAGAGGTGCCAGCTCGGAGCTGCCTTCAACAAGGTCACAGACCGGCATTTTTAAGACCTCGTGAGGCTTCCACAGAAGCCATCCAAGGAGGGCGCAGAGCGGAGGAGGAGGGTCTGCTGCTCAGCTCGGGGGCGGCGGGGCACCTCTGCCGACACCCAGAGTCTGCGGCCACAGGGCACCGGGGACACAACGCGAGGACAGGTCTCTAAGAAGCCAGTCTGCCCTACCTGTCTTTAAGCTGTTTCTTGACCAGATCAATAGTAACGGGAGTCATCTCGTTACTGGGAGTTTTGAAAGGGGCTGAGTTATCTGTTTTCTGAGCCTTGCCCTCAGCCGAGCCGTAGGCGGCGTAGCTGTAAGGGATGCCGTAGGAGGCGCCGTAGGGCATGGCCGAGTAGGCGTTCTGGTAGTACACGTTCACCTCGGCGGGCTGGCTCGCCTGGACCTAGAAAAGAAGGGGGCTGCATGTGAACGGTGGTAGCTAAAACCACGCCAAGAATAGTGTTACACCTTTAAAGTTAAAAAACCTAACAGCAAAAATCAAACCCATTTTCTAAACAGTATGCAATGAAAATAAATACTTAGAATTCTTCAAAATCAAATAAAAGCAGAGGTAGATGAATGTTCTTGTTCTCTTATGAGATTATAGGTTTCATTGCCAATAATTTTCAGAGGAAGTTAAGAGTTGGAAGGGGCATTAAAAATAATTCAAGGCTACCATTTCACCAATGAAAGATACATTACATGCCATGGTCAGAGGAGAAACAGGCAGAGTGAGCATCTGAGACCATTCTATATACACACTAGTAACAAAAGGGTTACATTTTATGCAACACTTCCTGGTACTACCTCCTTCCATAAAACAAATGTAACTATTTAGGAAGGTATCTTTCACCTCAGTAATAGACACCAACTGCTACAAAGTAACTCCTAAAGTCAGAAAACATATGCCACACAGGGAAGAAACACTTCTCTGATACAGTGTTTCTCAGGCTTTGGCCGGCCTCCTACCCACCCTGGGCTTATAGAACCCGGGCTGGACCCTGCCCCCGGAGCTTCTCACTGTCTAGGCCCAGGGCGGTGAGAGTGTGCATTGAGTGTGCATCTCTCACAAGCTCCCAGATGATACTTGATGCTGCTGGTTAAAGAACTACTCTGAGATATACTGATCTAAGAAACCAGAAATGCTTCCATCACTTGACTGTAAAGAATAAAATAGAGTTTCTTCGAAAAGCTTATTGGATACCTAACTTTATGTGATTTTCTTAACTATGGGACTTGAGCCAATGACAAAGATTCAATTCACTATGCAATACACTTTAGCTTTTGCTTTAACGAAATAGGCAGAAAAAGGCTTCACATTCAGTCTGAAATACGCTCTGTAACTCCTGAGGTCCAGCTCTCTGGCACTCACCTGCGGGATATTGATTCCTTTCCTTATCTGCTCCTGCTCCCAACGGCTGAGCTCTTCGTCTTGCTCTCCGGTCACTAAAGCGTCGTCGTCACTCCCCTCGATACCTGTAGCCACGAGCAGCGGAGACAAGTGAGGACCACTGTGGGGGCGGGGAGCGGGCGGGGGAACCAGACGCTGCCCTGCGCTGTCACAAAAACCGCCTGAGCCTTGTGAGACCACCTGCCAGGAGCTCCACTCTGCTTCGCTTCCGCGTCCCTGGCTTCGCCTGTCTTATGGATGTGCAGCCTCCCCGGAAGCAAAAGGCGGCACTAACGTAGCCATTAAAACCTGGGGCGGGTTTCCTCATCTCTGTGTGCGTGACATCAACTCAACAACCGCAGGACAAAGCCTAGAGCCTCATACGGGTGCCGAGCCCACGATCCCAATGTCTGCGTGTGAGGTGTTCAGGCCTCTACCGGCCCCGCTGAGGAAAGGCTCAGTTAACCACGCTCGAGGTTTCAAAAGATTCCAGCGAGACACCTGCACCCGAGCGGGAAACCGTCCTCTAACATTAAACGTCGTTAAAACGACATAGGTCCTACTCTTTGACTATTTTTACTATCAAATCACATTTAGTATCTATGGGTTTTAATAGCAATGTAATGAACAGACTTACTATCCTATTCAATCAAGTTACCTATTTCCTCGGCAATTTTTTGTCTCTGTGACTTCTCCTTCACGGAGAACACTATCCGGCGTTTCTCATCATCATCTTCGTCATCGCTGGCATCGTTCTCATCCTCTCGAACAAGGCGGCCTTTGCCGGGCTCGCTCTCGTGAGGAGTGAAGTCCCCCAGCTCCCGGGCCATCTGGCGCTTCTTCCTGGCGGCATGTATGAAGGCTGCGTCCGGGATTTCCCCTGGGGCCAACGGCAAGGACCAGAGCCGCGTCAGGGTGTGCGGGCTCTGCTTCCTCGAAACCACACAGGGCGAAACCCTCACCAGGAGAGCCCTGTCACAGTGGCGCGTTCTGCTGGCTGTGGGGCCCGCCACCAACCGCTCTCTCTCTAATCAGTTTAAAGGAAACTGAAAGCCACAAGGAAACCTAAACGAACCCATAGTAACACAATGGGAAAGAGTGTGCGGGGAGGGGGGGACTCCACCAAAGGCAGTTTTATTTAACTGTACTTTTTCACCTTTAAGTAAAACAAAAATAATAAAATCATATTACTAAATTGGAAAACAGATAAAAGTTAAAAAGGTGCCCACACCCCATGACCCCAACACACACCATTAGATGTACATTCCATTTCTCTTGCGAAGCTTTTAGTTCACCTGTCAGCATATTGGCTACATAATTCTGTACCTCATTTTTCTTCATGTTAAAGCGTAACAAGCTTTTCTCCATGTTGCTGTTTTGCATAAATATACTTTTAATGGCGTAACAACTTGACACATAAAGCATTATCTACTACATAACTGACTTTTTATCTACAGTAAAAATGCCTTGCTACTTGTTATTTTAATAGCTATGCACTATGCTTTCATGTAAATGTGCCTTAATTTACTAAGCTGTTCCTCTCCAGCCAGACGTTGTGTCAAAGTTTTACTCGATGCAAATAATGTAAGAAAACATTATTTCCTTGGGATAAATTTCTACATACAAAATTATAGGGTCAAGAACATTTGAAATCACTGCCAAATAGCTTAAGGACTGTACCAGTTAGAATGCTCCTAATCTACATACATAATTTTTCACAACTTTACCAGGCCAGAGTGAGCATTTTAAAATTTTATAAATGTTAATGAGTTAAATGATACCTTTTCATAATTTAAATTTGGCTACAAAATGATTAATTATTCAAAAGCTCATTAACCAGTGATGAGATCTGCAAACTATTTCGTACAGAAATGTAAAAAATGAAGGAAGTGTGGAGAGGAAACTAAGAGCAGTTAGCTTTGCTTTTAGCAGCGGTTTTAAAAGAGCCCTTCACCCGACCTACAGAACAGACCAAGCCGCCGCAGGGCCGTTTGCCGGGAGCCTGAGGCCCCACATCTGCTCCGACGCACGCGGCCTGTGTGGAGGCACCTGTGCCGCGGGCGCTTCTGCGTCTCCCCCTTCCTGCCCTTTCGCCAGAGGCAACACCCCACGCCAGGGGCGTCCGGGGCCACCGCCGAGCCCCCCGCGTCCTCCCCGCGGCCGGGGCCCACGGCCCACGGTCGGCGCGGGCGCACACCTGGCCGGAGGACGTTCAGAGACGACAGGGCGTCCGCGAAGGCGCCGCCGGCCTTGGCCTTGGCCTCCTCCTTCTCGCTCTCCACGTCCATCTCGTCCTCGCCGCGCTCACCGAGGGCCCCCCCGTCCTCTGGGCCCGTGTCCTTGGCGTGTCCTGTTTTGTCCAAAGGGGGCTCATCTAGTTTTGAAAAAATTGAAAGGATTATAAAACGAAATCCATAAATTAAGATGGGACTTCTTATTTGATTATGGGCTCGATTCATTAAAGCTTGACCTATTTTAATTGTTGATAAAAATCTCCAACCGTTAATGTATGAAAACGAAATGCCACCAATAGACGTAACGAGGAGATAAAGACAATTCAGGGGACAGAGGGGCGCACGGGCGGCCCTGCGCCATCCCACCATCGGTGACTTTTATCAAGTGCTACCAGTTTATTGAAATGAACTGTTTCTTCCCCTAAACTCCCTAGGTAACTGTCTGTCCCTCTTTGAAGAATTATTTCATTTTATGTCCGTATTTCATTAAGCTCTAAACCCATTCCAGGAAGCTTTTTATCAAGAACGGAGTCCAGGGACCAGACAGAGCCCTGAACTGTGGCGAATGGTGCTGGGGGTACCATCTCGGTTCGTAACCCTTTCTCACCGTCACCTGCAGGGCTCAGACGCAACAGTGACATGTACACCGCGCGGCCCCGGCCGCACTGCCACGACTGGATGTGTCGGAGTGACTTCGCGAGTGGCGCAGAGACAAGCTGGTTCTCTTCCGGGGACCCAGGCCCGGGATGGAGACAAGCGGCGGCCAGGCGGCGCTAAGGCCCACCGCGCAGGTCGAGGAGGGGCGGGGAGGCGCCGCCTGCGCCAAGTGCAGGGCGACAACCCTCCCGCGGTCGCTTCTGGGCCTCAGGCCGCCCCTCGGGCAGGTTTCCAGACTGCTCTCCTGCCCTTGGGTTCTCAAAGCCTAGAGTTGTTCGCTTTACTTGTAACTAAACAGCTTTATCACATCCTCTGTCCCAGGCAAAAATCAAGAAAATCAAAATGTTTCCACCTTGAAGCATTGGGCCTTGGCCTTGCACACAACAGGCACAATGGACACAATGAGAGAGTAAAACAAATGTTTATTCTAAATGTGAAAAACACCCTTTGTTGTTTCCCTAGCACGTTCCCCTCCCTGAAACTGCTTCAAACATTCCGTGTCCTTCTCGAAGCGTAGTCCCCCCCAGACAAGAGTCCAGGGATAAGACTTCCTCCCCGCCCTTGGCTTCACTGAGAAGAGTTAGAATTTAATTCCTCATATTGTTATTTTAATAGCCGTGTACCATCCCTTCTCGTAAATGTACCTTAATTTTACTAAGCCGTTCCTCTCCAGCTACACACTGTTTCCAAGCTTTTTGGTTTCTTAAATGTATTTTATTTATATATTTTTAGAGAGGGAGAAGGGAAGGAGAGAAGCATCGATATGTGAGAGAAACAGCAACCGACTGCCTCCTGCATAGACCCCAAACGGGGGTCTGGCCTGCAGCCCAGGCCTGTGCCCTGACTGGGAATCGAACCGGCGACCTTTCGGTCCACAGGCTGGTACTCAATCCACTGAGCCACACCAGCCACGGCTCCAAGTTCCCAAGTTTTGATCTGTTAGATCATTCTATTTTAGGCTCTGTTTTCCCAGCTACCATCCTACCTCATTAGCCATAGACCTGCTTCTGAGGTGCTTTCTGAGGCTACAAGACTTTCAAACTCATTTTATTAGATGCACTTATATATGGTTACGAGTCAAAACATACGCATTTCCTTCTGCTCTCACCCTACACCCATCAACAGCTTTTAACAGACAAGCGAGACCTAGGAAAGGCCTTCCAGATCAGACGTGCGCAGAGGGCGCCCTCCACAGGCTGCGGAAGACTCGCCCTCTCCCTGAGTTCGCAGGTTCCGCGCCCGGTGGCCCAGACCACAGCTGAGAGCCGAGTTCCTCCCCGCGCGCGGGTGCTACGCTCAGACAGCTTTATAACGAGAGAAGCTCAACAGCCCTCCCTGGGCCCTTCTCACGCCCCCCACCCCCAGCGCTCCCCCAGGGAACCTGCCCGCAGGCGCTCTCACTACTGTGCCCCGCCTGCCCTCAGCCCGCACGCAGGTACAGGCCCCCCGCACCAGTCTCTGCCACTGTTGTCCTCTGGGCCCTCCCCCGAACTCCCTGAAGCAGCGGGGGGTCCTGTGGCCGCCCCCGTCACTTCCTCGCTCACCCGTGCGCCCACCCCTGGCAGACGGCCTCCGTGTCCTGCCTTCCCAACCCAGTTTACCCGCCAGCGGCCGGCGGCAGCCACAGCCGCTCTACACGGGGCTGCTGCGCGATGCTCCCCCCACCCCGGCCCCCGCAGGCACAGACTGCAGCCGGCAGACCCTCCCCTGCCCAAGGCCACCACGGGGACCCTGCCAGCAGCCCTTCCCCGGCCCTCCCTTCTTTTGACCTTTCCTTTCTGGTGCCACTTCCTACAACCGACCCCCATCACCTCGAAACCTGCCACCTCCTCCCTCAGCCTTTTGTGTCTCTTCAGTAAATCCCTTCGTCACCTCGGTAAGCACTGCACCTGGCCCTACATCTCCAGCTGTTCACTGGCCATGGCGCTGAAATTCAGCTTAACAGTGGACTCACACCCGACCGGCGTGGCTCAGCCCGTGGAGCGTCGTCCCACCAGGCGAAGTGCCGCTTCCCAGCCAGGGCACAAGCCTGGTTTGCAGGTTCGGTCCCCTGGGGTGCTAACAAGAGGCAACCAAGAGGCAGCGGACTTCTGACTTCTCTCTTCTCTCGCGACACATCGGTGCTTCCCTCTCTATTTCTCCCCTTTTCCCCTCCCCCTGAAAATAAATAAATAAAATCTTAAGAAAAAAAGTGACTTCATCATTTTAGGACCACCACAGAGGTTTCCAGGTCGCTACGGCCTTTGTTCCAAAGGGGCTGCGCCTCTGCCGCCCGAGGAGGGCCGGCGCGGCAGGCGCCCGGGGCGAGCCGGCTGTCGGAAGGGCCCGGCGCGCCGCTGCTTCAGGGGTGCCTTCGGGGACGCGAGGGCAGGGTTGGGCACAGCAGCACCTGCCCTCGGGGAGGCCGCGCACCCAGTCATTGGTGAGCGTTCCGTGCCAGCGGAGAGACAGAGGCTGCCACAGACGAGGGCTTCGTGAGCCGTTTCTCAGGTCTCCCTTTCCCTGACTTTTCCGGTGTCATTTCATCACCACTGATTCTCAGGAGAGTGACAAAAAGTGAAGCCGTTCCCTCGACTCCAAGACAACTGGCTCCTCAAAATACCCCTCCTCCCACTGCCGCCCCTATTTCTGTATGAAATCCGCGGTCGCCCTCTCGGTCACCCTGGCACAGCAGCTCAAATTTGACTCTTTCCTTTAAACCCAATAGCGAAAGCACCCACCAAGCCTGCCAGTTCTTCCACTGGAACATTTCTCAGATAGTCCCTTCTTTCCATTTCTCCTCCTACACCCACAGCAAACATTTTTAGCTCATCCCCAGTTTCCCAGAGAGACAGGAAGAGCCTCAGTCCTGCTCAGCTGGGATGTCCGGGTCCCCGTCCCGGATCAAAGCTCACTGACCCTTGCATCTCAAGTGCTCCGGGCCGCCGGTCTCCACTGGTGCCCGCCCACGCTGCACGCTCATGCCAGGAGGAGGTTCCAAAGGCATCTGTCACATCCCCATCTTAGCAAACCAGCAGACACAGCAACGCTAAGTCCCGTACTGGGCACTCAACATCCTTCATGATCTGTCAACAGCATGCCTTTCACCCCAAACCTCCGCTCCCTCCATAAATCATCTGTGCTGGCCTGTGAGGAGTGCTTGCTCTTCTGCAAAACAGTCTCGGTCACTCCAGTCTGTGATAACACCCTTGAATGGATCCACTTTCCTAAAGACAAACAACTGCTTAAATGTTTAACTGCGGCTGAGAGTGAGCCTGAGACGCCTGAGCAGGGCAGGCCGGGCCTCACAGTGCGGAGTCACGGGCGCGAACGCAGAGAGCTGCGGAGTGGCAGCAACGTGAGCCTCAGGGCGTTCTTGAAAGTCCTCTAAGAATCAAACCCACTGCAGAAATACCACCGAGAAATAGAAAACCTGCCTCTGTAAAATACAAACATGGACATTTGCAAGGTACTCCCTCAAAGGAGAGTAAGCGTGTGTCTCAGGGTTAAGCGGGAAACTTTCTCTGTTCAACAGCAGTCTGAGCGCTGCTGGAGAACCGGGAGAGGGGTCAGCTGGTGCAGTAGAAACGTTCCGGGGACCACGGTTTTGTCTTTTTAAAAAAATGCATGTACAATGCAACGGAGTGAGACATAACAGAGCAGGAGGGCCACTCCGTGCGGACCCTTGACCAGGACAGGATCAGCCGAAGGAGTTCCCCGTACAGACAGCAAATCCATTCTATCCGCATGAGAAAGAGCCTTCAGTTTGACATTTCGAAAGAATCCCATTCATCTGGTACTTACTGTCGGCTGATGAGTTGAGTTCCGTCTTAATCTTCGACTTTTCAAGATCTTCTTTATATTCTTTCTTTAGTAATTTCACTATCTTTTTGCTATAACTTGATTTCTTCACTTTGAAAACTTCTTCATTTTCTTAAAAGAGAAATTAAAGGAAGTCTGTAGCAACCATTTCCAGATACCCTCTCCCCTTCTAGTTTTACATGACCTTACATGTTTTTCAAATTCTTTCAAGTATGTACTCGTACACCCCCAAATGATTACATAATTTGAAGTTATTTCAAATGTCACAGGCTCTCAAAAACTGGAGTCAGCTTCATAAACTAATCTAGAATAATGTGAAATTGCGACTTTTAAAAAAGCAGAAAACATGTAAACTGCCCAAAATTTCCCAGTGTCCTGCTGTCTTCCTCAGATATCCATTTCAGGAGGAACAAAAATCACCGAGGAAGCACTTAATCACAAACTACTACGGGGTCTGAAACAAAACACCCAGAATCAGAAGCAACGGCTACCAGGGCTGTCAGGTCCAAGGGACTCCGAGTCCCTGGCCAACTGACACTCCGTTCTTCCCAGACTAAACTGAGGGCAAAATACTCTTCAAAAGTACTTCTGAGGACGTGTCCATCGGCTCTGATTTGAAAACTTTAAAGTCAAACACAAACATTACCAAACAGCCCTGGAAAAAACAAAAATCTGCCCTCCTTTTAAACAAAACAAAACAATAACAGAAAGGCCAGAGAGAAACGTGCTGCCTCACTGGAAAACACGCAAGCACCTCACATCAGGATGCAAGTGAGGTTGCCAAAAATCTGAACTTCTTATTTTACAACACAGACTTAAAGGATCACATAAACACACAAGGTATTACTATTTAAGGCTCCTTTATGATCAGGCATCAAAACGCACTGCAGCCTTGGGGAAACACAGGCTCGGATATTGCAACCGTCTGGCCCAAGGTCACTCGGAACCAAAACATCCACTCCGGGCTTCTGGTCCCAGACCCAGAACGCCCGCTGTTCGCAGCCCCGGCCTCCGGGTCCAGGCTGCCGGGACGGAGCACCCCCGAGGCGCGGTGACCGCCCAGTGCTCGGGGAACGAGCCCCGCGCAGCCAGGGGATGGCGCGCCAGTTGCCCCTGAAACACACGGCCGGGAAGACGCAGGCCAGGGACCCCGGGTTTCCCCCGGAAAACCTCCGCGCGGCTGATCGAGCTCCGGCCCCCGGAGGGGAAACCGCACGGGCGGCCGGGGAGGAGGCGGCGTCGCCGAGCGTAGGCTAGATGCGGCGCGGGAACGCGTTCCCGGCCAGAGCGTAGGGCCAGAGGCGGGGAGGGTGTGCAGAGGGCCGGAGGGAGCGGGCTCCGTCCTGGGTGCGGGGCCGCGGGGGCAGGGCGGGGGCGCCGCGGTGCGGGGCCCCACGCGCGGCAGTTACCTTCTTCCTCGTCCTGGAAGCTCAGCAGGCTGGCCCGGGGCACCTCTTTGTTCTCGCGCGGCCTCTTGCGCGGCTTCAGCCCGTTGCCGGGCTCCGCGCCGCCCGGGAAGCAGCCCCCAGCCTCGGCGCCGGGGCCAGGGGTCAGCGCCGACGGCGGCGGCAGCCCCGGGCCCAGCAGCCCCTCCCCCCCGGGGGCCCTGTCGCCGCCGCCGCCGCCGCCGGGGCCCGGCTCTTCGCCAGTGCCCGGCGGCGGCAGCAACGGCGGCGGCTCCTGCTCCTCATCGCGCTCTCGTTCCTCTTCCTCCGAGTCATTCCGCTTGCGCACGTTCACTCGCCGGGCCTTTCGGAACATTCTCGCGGCCCGCACGGCTGTCCCACACCCGCTCCCGCACGGCGACCCCGGCACTGCCGAGCTCGCCACGGCGCACGCGCGCGCGCCCAAACCCCAGCCTAGAGCTGTCTCCCTCGCGGTACCGCGCAACACCAAGCGCGCATGCGCTCGCGCTCGCACTGCTCCGAGCGAACTCCGCGCCTCTCGCGAGAACGTCGGCTTCCTGCACTGCCCTCTGTCGGATTGGCGGACTGTTGGCATAGAACTCTGGGACTCGGGTGCTATTCCACGGGTCACAAAGAGGATCATAGAGACCAGAGTTAAGAGTGAGCTGTGTGCACGATGCTGCAGTGCGTCTCCGCTCCTACGCGTAGCAGTCCTGCGAAGAATCCTGCGGCCGAGCGCTGGGGCCACTGGGGAAAGGGGCGGGGCCAGGGAAGAGCCGCAGGCGGAGCCCGGCGCGGGAAGGGCGCGTGGTACGCTGTTCCAGGGACTGTGCAGCCGGTGTGAAATGGTGATCATCACTAGCTAATATGTTCTCACCAACTGTTGCGACATAGCGCGTTCGAAACCATTGAATTTCATTTGTGACAGATGCTCCCTGGCCTGATAGTGTAGCCCCCTTCTTTCCATTACGAGGAAAGCAAAAAGTGTTACTCTTTTCGAAAGACTGTCAGGTTTGCCCGCAGTTCTGAACCGGCCACTTTCGGAAGCAAACGGAAGGGAAATGGACTTGCGGTGGGGGTGGTTTTGTCACCACTCGGACTTGCGTCACAGAGGCGACGGTCCTAACTGGCGAGGCCGGAGCAGGGACTGGCCCCTGAGGCTGACCTCGCAGGCTTCCCTGTTGTGTCACCAAACGCGGGGTCTTTTCCTTCTCAGAGGGTATCCGTACAGTGGAAAAAGCCCATCCGGCTCTGGAAGTCGCCCCATTCATTGCAATGTTAAGAGTGCCCCATGGTCCTCCAGACATGCTCTATGAACCCAAAAGCAAGTGTGTACGTTTTTGAGTTGCCTTTTTTACACAGTGTATACACTTCTGAGTTGCCTTTATTACACGGTGTATACATTTCTGAGTTGCCTTTTGTACACAATGTATACACAGTGCACGTTTTGTCTGACATAGATGGCAAATCGGTTCATATCTGCAGACAAAAAGCATTCTCTTACCAGCTAACTAGCGATCCATTGTGGGAATGTACAGTAAGTTATGTAACCGTCCCATAACAATTGATAGAAAGTTTATGTACAGTGTTAGTATCGTAATCAATGCTGCAATGAAAGCTTCAAAAAATGGCCACGTGCAGGGTGAACTAGAATTGGAACTGCTGGATCCAAGTGGGTGTATTTGTAACTTCGCTAATTCTCCGCTGCTCTTTATGGAAACGGTGCCAGTTTGTGCCGCTGCCAGCAAACATGAGAGTGCCCATTGGCCTATGCCGTCCTGTCAAAACTTCACTTCAGATGTAAGTTCCAAGTGAAGCAGAGGGTCCGAAGCCCATAAGGATTTCTATGTCATACACACCTGCCTCCTTTCACTGGTTTTCTTTGATTGGATTTGAGATCTACCCAACGGAACTCACCTTTGGAAATTGGCAAGGCAATCTGGGCCGGCGATTTTCAATCCGGTGTGCCACAAGAGTTATTTATTCTTTAAGATTTTATATATAATTTTTTTATGTATGTTTTGTTTAGAGAAATGGGAAAGGAGAGAGAAAAAGAGGGAGAGAAACATCAAGGGGTTGCCTCTTGCATTTCCCCAACCAGAGACCTGGCCTGCAATCTAGGCACATGCCCTGACTGGGAATTGAACGAGCGACCCTTCAGTTTGTAGGCCGATGCTAAGTCCACTGAGCCACACCAGCCAAGGCAAGAATTTTTTTAGAGTGCAACACCTGACTATTCAGTCAGGGGCACTGACCTCTCTTCCCTTATATTGTCAAATAAAAAATGATAACAGCCAACATAACAATAGCCATCTGGTGTGAGTGAATCAAAATGATACTTTTTTTTTGTCAGAATGGCAAAAGGTATATATATCTTTCGTGTGCCGCAGGATTTCCGTAATTAGTTTATGTGCACCCTGAGATGAAAAGGGTTGAAAAATTGCTGCTCTAGCCTGAGCGTCCTCTGACATTCTCTTCCGACTCGCAGGGCAAGTTAGCAACACCTGGCTTCCATTCTGTTCAAATGGCTCTGAGTCCTTATGTTCTGGCTGTTCAGCACTGATTTAAGTTCAGATGCCAACAATGTTTCCTCGGTGAAATTGAACTCCAGTTCCCACCACGAAAGATTCAAATTGTGCCTGGTCAGCCTCCAGGCACCTGAGCCAAGAGACAGAGGAGCAGTAACATGATCTCGGTAGAGGTAACAAAGATAGGGTCCAGGGCAGGGTACGTTACTATCTTGGCCTAAAACTTCAAAAAGATCTTCCTCTGTGAAATATGGATACAGCAGAGAACAGTTGCATTTTACAGTGAGCCACGATATTAAAAGACAACAAATGTATTTATAACTTTGACAGCCTACCTACTCAATAGTTGAAGGGTAAAGTTAAACGCTTGAAAGTTATCTTGCTGCCCAAGCAAGTCAGGTCCTTCTAGAGGTTATAGACCTTGTGGAAATTAAATTCCTGAAACTGAATAGCTGCTTTAATTGCCTGTCAGCAGTGTATTATCGGAATTTAATTATTTTATAGAATGCCCTTTGCTTTAAGTATTGAACTGACTGATTTGTTCATTGAAGGTAGTGTGTCACCGCCGTTTAATATTGGAGTCTCGTTAGTGTCCTGGGAAGACAGAGGCTGCTTCATAGAACTGTCACATCAACCATTTTGTTTGAATCAGTAAGTTCAATTACTTTTTAAAAGTCATCTTTCCAAGCAATAATTCTGTGGGGTTTTTTTCCCCCTCACAAAATTGGGACTTTACATGGAACAACTGACCCATAAATTCACACAAAATAGACAACTGAGCTGTGTTTGCCTGCAGATTCGGTGTTCAACTCTGCAGTCTGGGTCTGTGGTTACCAATTCAGGTCTCTCCACCTGTGACAACTTCTCCCGAGTCAGCTGCCAAGTGAGAAGTGTAAGGACAGACTGTCCGGGTAGAGCAGCCAGATGCCCTTACTTGGGGAAAAACTGGTCCTTTATTCTGAGGTTGTCTTTCTCTTTCCATGTTAAGATAATAAAATCTCTTTCCTTCTATAAAATATTGATGTTAGTGTGTTTGTTTTTACACCCTTACTTAGCAAATTAAAAAGCAGTGAAAGCTATAAGTCTTCCCCAGTTTTTTATTTGAGCTAAAATTTTTATTTGGCAGGCAGAAGCTGATAGTCTAGGAATCCCTGACCTAGGAATTTTCCTTTTCTTTCTAAAACTGTAACTCAATTCCAATCTGAGAAAAAAACTGAATAAATTTAGTTTAGTTAAAAATTTTAAACCTTGCCTAACTGAAGGGGGTTCTGATTAACTTACGGTAAAATATAAGCTTCACGGGGGAAAAGATTTTATGTTTTGTTCACTGCAGTTTTCCCAGTACTTCCGATAGGGCCTGGCCCACACTAGGCAATAAATATTTGTTGACTGAAGGATGCTGCACAGTATATTTGTTTAATTAGTGATAGATGTTTTATTCTATGTTGATATAAGTTAACATTTTTCTACAGCTCACATCGCTTTATTTCCAAAACAAGATCACGATACATTCATTATAAATTACGCGGTAGATTAGTTTTTCTCAGGGTCATAGGTCCCCTCCCCTCCCCTTGGGGAAGGGCCTCCTGGAGTGAGGGGCGGCTGGAGGCCTAGCGCGCTGCGCAGACCTGGCAAGGCGGGCGCACCTGACCCGAGGTGGGCCAATCACGCCTCCCAAGCCTTTCCCCTCGGAACAGACACAAGGAGTCCCGCTGGGGGCCGGAATTGCAATGAACTCAGAAGCAGAAGGAAAGCCACAAATTACCATGTCAATTCTGGAGCTCAGAAAACCAGTCTGTGCGGCAGGAGAGAAGGATGGAGCAGGAGAGGAGAGAACAGCTAGTGTATGGGATCCTCTCACCTGCCCGGGTCTTACTCACAAGCTTCCTCCAAGCAGGGCCGCGGCCCTCGGCTGGGCGGGGGTCGGGGGGGCAGGTTCCTTAGAGTCCCTTTCTTCTTCGTTGTGCTGTTGTTGATAATGCTTTATTGTTCAAAGTAGTTCAGTTTGTTTACACTAGTTGGAACCGAAGAACACCAGGACCAAAGAATTCTATCAGAATAACCAAGAGTTATTTTAATTTTGTAATAGTGTTAATTTTATCTCTGTAAATTGTACTTTTAAGATTACTAGTTAATATCTCTTCAGCTATGGCTTTTGTTGAGAGAGGAGCTTTTCTTTATTTGTTTTTCTTTTTAAAATATATCCATACAGATATGCTCACCAGCATTTAAAGCATTGGATAGAAACGAGGAAAGCTCTTTTTTTTTTTTGAAAGTATGTAGTCATTTCAAGTAATGAGAGCTAATACCTTCATTCACAGCATGTGAATGATCTCATTACACATGTTAGAAAGTTTCTAAATTCTTTCAAACTCTTGAAATTGAACCACTGTACCTAATTCAGTGAGATTATCTTTTCTGTTGTTAGTAATGGAATCCAGATTTAAAAGATTCAGGCTCTTAAAAGTCTATTTTTTTGTTACATTAGTACTCCCAGTGGAGAGCCATTTACCTTTTATGAATGTATTGGCAATTTGACTGTAATAACCATTCCTTCCTTTTCTGAAATGACAGTTTCTTCAAAAAGAAAGGGATTTTTTTTTCTCTTCTTTTGGAATTAGAGTGTAATAATAAAAGTAAACAATGTTTTGTTTCCTTGCATGGAAATATTGAGCTTATTCCATAATTTTGAAATACACCTGATGTTTAGACGAGGCAGTTCTGTTACCCATTCATTCAACAAAATTTATTGAACATCTGGTATGTTCAAGGTAACAGAAATACCATCATGAACAGGTGGGTTCTTTCTCCTAAATCTGTAGTCAGGGGCTGGAGACAAAAGAAACAAGTGAATACACAAATAAACAGCCGTTACTATTATGTCAAAATCAATTGGATGCTACATCTTATGAACCACAGGTATAAAATGATAGGCATTTCAATCTG